CACATGACTGTCTGCTAATCTGTGAAAATGAACAGAGAACTTACATTAGAGTCGTCTCAAGATCCCTCGGTTCTCAGCTTCAAAAATCCTAATGGTTTTCTCCTGCAAATAAATAACGATATCAGTAACCTAAAATCAACCAAAAACATGTGAGTTTAACTATGTGTAAGTACTGTGGACGGTACCTTGTCATCTAGCTGGTCATTTGCTGTGCTGAGCAGATCAGATTTTTTCTCCAGCTGTTCCTGCAGTGTGTCTCTTTGCTGGTCCAGCTCTGAGATTGTACCTCTCAGTGTGTTCACTTCCTCTCGCAGTGCGGACACCTGCCTCTGGAGAGAGTCTGAAACACACAGGAAGAGGAGGAATGATGCAGTGACTCACATACAGCGTTTACACACTAACATTATTGCAAGTATCCAACTGATTCATTCAAAACATTGATCCAAAAACATGATACACCGCCATTCAAAAGTGTGGAGTCGGTAAGATTTCTTAATGTAATGTACAAGTGACTCTTCTGCTCAACAAGGCTGCATTTATTTAATTAAAATACAGTCAAAACTGTAACATTGTGAAAATATTATTACAACTTAAAATAATTCTTTTCTATGTGAATATATTATAAAATGTAATTCATTCCTGTGATCAAAGCTGAATTTCCAGCATCATTACTCCAGTCTTCAGTGTCACATGATCCTTCAGAAATCATTCTAATATGAAGATTTGATGCTCAAGAAACATTTCGTATAACTGTATCAATGTAAAAAAAAAAGTTTTGACTAACAGCATTTATTGGAAACAGAAATATTTTGCAACATTATAAATGTTTTTCCTGCTACTTTTAATCAATTTAATTCAACCTTCCTGAATAAAAGTATTAATTTCTTTAATTATATAATTATTTTCTTATAATAATTCTATATAATTCGTATCTATCTATCTATCTATCTATCTATCTATCTATCTATCTATCTATCTATCTATCTATCTATCTATCTATCTATCTATCTATCTATCTATCTATCTATACTGTATGTACTGATAAATAAACGCAACTGTTTACAAAATAAAAGCACAGATTAAATGTATTGTCTGTTTTTCTCACTGTTCTTCTCATCCATTATTTGATTTCTCTCCTGGGCGTTTTGTAGATCTCCAATCCTGCTGGTCAGTCTCCGCTGATTCTCACTCAGACAACTTTCCACCTGAGTATTTTCCAGTCTGGTACATTCACACACACACAAATTAATTAATATTCAAAGTACTAAACTAACAAAACCTTTGTACGGACACATATATACGCTAGTTGTTCTTGCTTGTACCTGAGGCTGCTGCACTCATTTCTGAAGTGGGCGAGTTCTTCCTCACTGGCACTGAGCTTTCGCCCGAGCGTGTGAACTTCCTCTTCCAGACCCATCATGGTCTCCCTCATCTGAGCTTGCCTGCTTCTCTGTTCCCCCCGCTCCAGCTCCAGCTGGACACACACAGAACAATAGCACCAGTCCTTAACAATAACGTTCTATGACAATAACTACACTTTATAGTATAGTATAGTATACAGTAGTATAGTATAGTGAAACAATATAGGACTGTGCAGTATTGTACTATGTTATACTATGATACTTTTTGATATTGTGTAGTATGGTATAGCCCAGAGGAAAATTAGAGCTTTCATAATACACGTAGGTTTGAATTCAAGTATCCATTTTGACTCAATATTACCTAAAATGTCTTAGAAATAAAGAAATAAACATAGAAACAATTGTTGACAGACAGAAAGGGTAAAAGTTTAGGTTCAATTAGTTAACATTAACTAAAAAGTGAATACATTAGTTACAGAACACTAATAAAAGTTACAGTAATAAAAAAATAATAAAAATAAAACTGTTCATTGTTAGTTCATTTTAACTCATGTCTATTATTTTTTAAGCAATTTTGGAAAAAAAACAAACAAAAAACAAATAAAGGTGCCGTTTTCTGCTTTCTTCATTTCAAATTGGAAATCAAATGATCGGATGATACGCGGACCTTAAAAAGGTCTCCATTTCTTCTCCATTTAATCTTATTGCTGTCTAAAAGAAACAAGTGAGATCTGATTGGTGATTTTGCTTTCCTCTGAACTATAGTGAGTACATTAGCTGTCGTTAACACAGAGCTCTTACTGTGAGTACAGCAGCCTGCAGGTCCTCCACCCTCTGCTCCAGGTGAGCTCTCTCGCTGATGGCTGTCTCCTGAGAGATCTGAGGCACGTGCAGTTCAAAGGGAACACACATACACTCAGCAGTCTTAAAAAAGCACACCTCTCTCCTGGTATCATTCCCCAGTGAGATGACTCAATTTATTACTGTACTCTAGTGCGTAAGTGATTTTCCTTTAGTGCTCCTAAATAACATCTTCTGTGTACAGCACATATCATGCCAGGCTGGAGATCCTACCTTGAGTCTTTCTCTGAGGCAGTCTCTCTCTGTGGTCATGCGGTTGAGGTCTGCTGTGGCCTCATCCCGTTCGGCCTCCACTCGCTTCAGGATACTCTGAGGGGTCACGCTGCTCTTGGGCCCTCGCGCTGCCTTTGACTTCATAACCTCTCTCCGTAGAGCTGCTATCTCCTCTTGAGCCTGCAGGGGGAGTTAGTGAGATCAAAAGTGAGATAGATATATATGTGGAAATTGCTTTCTTTCTGTGTTAGAAAGAATATTATGAGTGAAAATATGTTGTTTCCAATATATATATATATTTTCTATATTGTCATTGTAGTGAAGTCAAAACAAATTGTTAAAATATACTGTACATCTGGCAAATAGTATATATATATATTATATATTATATAATATATATATATATATATATATATATATAACATTTACTGTACATCTGGCAAATAGTATATATATATATATTATATATATATATATATATATATATAAAATTTAATCAAACTAAATTTGATATAAAGTAATAAAAATAGAGTACAGTTATTGTAGTAAAGCCAAAACAAGTTATCATATTATCTGGAAAATTAGAATATATATATATATATATATATGTGTATATATATATATATATATATATATATACACTGTAAAACTAATTTGATGCATTTGCTAAAAAAAATTTGCTAAATCGATATAAAATGTAATTAATTGAAAATAAATAAAACATATTTACTGTATATTGTCACTGTAGTCAAGCCAAAAGAAATGATCAAAATATTATCTGTCAAAGTAATACTATTATACTATATGATATATATGTATATAAATATAAATAAAGTATGCATGTTTGTATGTATATAATTTAATCAATTTGAATTCATAATTTGATGTGTTAAAAAGTATAGTGCTGTATGAATATTGTTAAATTAATATTTTAATCAGTATAAAATTAACTAATTGTGTTGGCTGTATATTGTCATTGTACTGAAGCCGAAACAAGTTATTAAAATATACTTATACTTACTACGTGTGTGCGTGTGTGTATCATGGCCATTTTGAGCACATCAACCTGATTCAAGAATTCTGGGAAGTTTGGAGTTGTGTACCTGCTGGTAGTGCATTTTGGTCTTGTCCCGTTCGGCTGTGAGCACTTTAATATTGGCCTGGATCTCTGAAAGATGTCGTTCGTGTTTCTCCAACATGTTTTGGAGTTCATCTCTTTCCCGCAACACCCTCATTAGCTCTGAATCATATGTGCCACCCTTTAAAGGAGAGAGAGAGTGTTTCCTTTAGCATTAAAATAAACTAATCACTAATATTACTGCAGTGATGGATTATTAGTACTTTAACAGGAGAGTGTCTGGTGGGACTGCGATGGGTAGATACCCCTTTGACAGGGCTGGTAGAGCGACGGGCTCTCAGCATCCTTCCCACTGCCTCGGCCCTCCTTAGCTGGATCAGAAGATTAAGAAACAAAAATATTTTAACAGGAGACGTACATTTGGAGACCATTCATTTAAAACATCAGTCTGTCATTCATTGCTGGCCTAAAGCAACATCTCAACATCTTGTTAGTTCACTTCAGTCTCTCTGATCCAGTTTTGACTTTTTTTCTGGCGCCACCTGCTGGGACTATATTGTTACTACAACATTTAAACATTAAAATTCCAAAACAACAATGTAAAAATAGCATACAAGTAGAATCCTATGCCTCACAAATAATGTTCAGTAAATTTTATGTTTTACCAGTCATTCGTTTATGCTTAAGTTTGGTTCCTGGCTGTATATGAAGACATTTTTAATACTTTACAAAAAAAAAAAAAAAAAAAAACATTTTGATGGAGATTAAAATCTATTACATCTCAATAGAGCTTATTCAGACTTACTAAAAGCAAGTTTTATCAAGGAAAACTGATCAAATTAAACTACAACGAGGTTGGTATGGCAACTACGGCTGTACGTCACTGAAAAGGCGTCTCGTGCGACAATAAAACATAAGTATAGGTATGGTGTATAGTAATAAGTATTTTATTATTTACTAATAATAGTCGAACACTTCAACATGCACTAAAGGTAGTATGCTTTGCATTGACATGTATACTGGCACACAAATCATTCAAACGTAAAAGTTACACTAAATATGAACCTCGCTCTATAAAACCTGCAAATAGATTCTGCATTCAATAAAGACAATGCAGAAGAAAAGGTATTAGCTGCGTAAGTGAGCTCGTGTTACCTCTTGTAGTGGTTCTGGTAAATGAAAACGAGTGAGTAAGAATTAAATCTGAACACGCTAAATCTCTTTACCTCGAGGCAGAGGGATAAACACAGTCACACTGACCAATCACGGCACAGCATTAAACTGTCAGTCACGACAACAGAGAGGCGACGACCAATCAGAACACTAGATTTGCCTCAGTTTGCGTCCGTTGCCTTGACTACAAGTTGTGAACGCTCATGTTCAAAAACTACAAAAGATGAAGAAATGAAGCAGAGCCAATCTGAATAGATATAAAATCAAATGAATACATACATATCTTGCAAATATAAAATATAAATATGATGTTTCAAATGGCTCACGAATAAAACATACATTGTAAACATTTAGATATATTTTGCATTCGGTGAATTGTGTTTAAAATGATAAACACGGCATATAACGTGAACATTAGTCACATCTTATAATTTGCAGTGTTTACATCATCCACGACGGCAGGCGACAGTAAAGCGCAGGCGAAGAACGCGTGAACCAGGCGAAGAACGCGCCGCTGCTCGTGAACGCGCACAGCGACAACAAATCCGCTAGATTAGAAGAGGCGCGCGGATCACGCACACGCAGGAGGTGCATAGTTTCTTCTATCAACTATTGTGCCTTTTATCATGGGTTTGGAGGAGTTTCGCTTTTAATCAAGGACCGGAGGAAGTGCGATCTATAGAACTGGATATGTAAACATTTTGTAAGCCTCTTGTCAGACTTTATTTAAAGAAAAAAAAAAAAAACAAGATGTTTTTACGGATCAGAGCCACGAAACTCCGAAGAACAACAACCTCATGACTAAAGAGCTAGACGGAGGATTTCTTCAACTCAAGATCGCCTCACACTATTGCCCACCGCAGATTTCAATGATTTATTTTTATTTTGAAAATATGATTCACTTGATCTCCAAGAGAATAGCTAGAATCAAGACTCAGTTTTTCTTTGTCTGTGCATTATTGCATTGACATGATGATCCCTATATGACTGCTAGCTATATCAAGTTCTTTTATTATCCCGTGCAAAGACAAACATGTCAACACTCTAAAACTATTTACTTAATAGACAAGAGATTGAACAATGGGAATGCAATAAGAATTGCATTGTTTTACGTCTGATTAGACAATAATTGAAAGAAATCCTTTGTCAACCAACCAGAGAGAAGCGCGTGTGAGATCTGACTATGTCCTTCTTCAATTTCCGAAAAATCTTTAAATTGGGCGCAGAGAAGAAGAAAAAACAATATGAGCACGTGCACAGGGACATAAATCCGGAGGAAATATGGGAGATTGTGGGAGAACTGGGGGATGGAGCCTTTGGAAAGGTTTTCAAGGTAAAATAAACGCTAAAAAATAAAATCTATCTGTCTGTCTGTCTGTGTAGGTCTATTTATGTCTGTGCATATATATCTATATGTCTGTCTGTCTAATATCTGTCTGTTCATCTATCAGTCTGTTCAATTGTACACAAATGAATATGCAAAACATTTCTGAACTCTTTAAGGTCACCACACACATCCATCATCAAGCACACAACCCTGTCATTTGCTGAATCCAAAATCGCCCCCCTAAACCCTTAATCATCACTATTCCCTGTGTTAGTCCATCAATACAATTTACTTGAAGAAGTGAATGAAAACGAGTGAGCAAATTCGTACAGCTGTTGAGTGTACATAGGCTGTACACTTATTGTTGCAATGCAATGTGGGATTGATTGAGTGCACTCAATAATGTCCGCTATGGTTTCGGACACCACTACAAATGGCTGTCCCATCGAATAATGCCCTATTTGGGGGCATTTTGGATTCTGCCATTCTCATTCACATGACCTCAGCCTGTAGTGTCCAGTCTGCTTGATAATTCCACTTATTTGCTCTGTCTAAAGGCTTAATGTTGCTTAGTTTGTTAGTGGGATAGGGTGATTTGGGGATAAGGCCATTTCCTCAGTCTATCCAGTCAAAACAATGACGCTAGAACTTTCTCATGGTTTCTGCAAGTTTGATGGTTTGTAAATGGTCTAATGGTCTGTTGGATTGAGGGTCTGGTGTTTTCAAGACATTGGTATTTGGTGATTTTCATCACAGTGTGGTTTTGTGTTCTGTCGTGAGCTTCTACACTGTCAAAAATATTGTTGGTTTAACTTAAAAAATTAAGTAACCTGGTTGCCTTAATTTTAAGTTGATTGAACTGGAAAAAGTGAGTTAATACAATGAAGGAGATTGATTTAATCATCAGAAACTCGTAAGTTATCTGAACTTAATAAATTATTTAAGTTGATTTGACAAAAGAAAAAATGTTGTGATAACAAATCTTGAAAATATTTTTTTACAATGAGCACTGAACAGAATTACAAAATAATGACTGTTTTTTCCTGGGGCTGTAATCATTCGTGTACTCTTAAAAACTGTCTGACTTTTCTTAACATAATATCTGCTTAAATTATAAACACCTTTTATTAGAATTTATACTAATTTTGTGTAGTTGTATTAATTATCTTTTGTATTTTTATTTTATTTGTAAGGCAAATTGGTAACATTTAACATGTAACTACGTGACCTTAAAATAAAGGGTTACACTTTAAGGTGTCCGTGTCACAGTGTAATTATACATTTAAGTACTGTGTAATAATAATTAATTACATGTACTTACTCTAGGTTTAGTAAAAGGGGGTTGTTAATTGTAATTATTTTGCATAATTTATAGTTATTACTACAGTAACTATATGTAACAATGACACTGTTAAAGTGTTACAAAATGAGGTGTAACCTAATGATATAATTTCCTCATTTACTGTAAATCTAAAAGCTAAAAGTTTTAAAATGAAAAGTTTGAACTGTAACATACTGCATCACACTTAGTGACCAAAAACAATAAAAACCACTGCAGAATTTATTATTCCAGATTGTCCTGCAATAAACCAGCAGTCTTTGACCTGGTTAATTTTTCACTTCTGAATCTCGCTGGGTTCTAAATACCGTAATTACCTCTGTTTACAAAAGCTGTGTGTTGAGTGGAATTGTTCTGTGACCTTCAGTGCTCTGCACCGCAGTATGAATGACACTGAATGGGATTTCTGTTGAATGCTGGACTGGATCATGCTGACTGCATGGGTCTAATTAATTCTTTTTACCTCCATTTACTGGTAGTTAAAAGAGATTGTGTTGAATCATCTGCTCATGTATTCAAGTATGTCACGCCTCAAACATCATGTCTGATTTGTACTGTAGTAGTTTGGCGTAAGAGTAGTAGTAGTTTGGGTTGTGTAACATCAGAAGGTGTATAACCATTTTGTATTACTAACATGTTACCCAAAGTGTCTGCCAACCAGTCTCGCTTTGTTGAAAGTTATTGCTTGCGTATACCCTAAAATGTTTCATTAGACTTGTTTTATTTAGAGGGCTGTGTAAATAAATTCTCTTTTTATTCAGGCTCAGAACAAGCAGACAGGCATTTTTGCTGCTGCAAAAGTAATTGACACCAAAACTGAAGATGAGCTGGAGGACTACATGGTGGAGATCGACATCTTGGCGTCATGTGATCATCACAATATCGTCAAGCTGCTCGACGCATTTTACTATGAGACCAAACTGTGGGTGAGTGTATTTATTTTATTTTTCATGTTTTTTTTATGTTTGCTTTGTACACAGATTTTATTCCTATTCTCTTTTCCACAGCACAATTTTGGAATCTGATTTAAAAAAAAAAAATGATTTGACCCATCTTGTTTAATAATGTTAATAAGTCTCATAATTCACCCTTCACTGGGAGTTTAATTGACTGGCTACCTGACTAATCATAACGCCAAATCCACAATTTTGTCAGACAAACAAACCAGGAGAGTTAGTAGATTAATGTCCGTGGAATTAATGGGTGTGTATTGATGTCTTCCCGCTGTTGAAACATACTTTCTGATGTTCATTCATGTTTATTTGGTGCTAATGAGTGGGAAGAGATGATCGGTTCACGTGCCGCTTGAGTTATGGGACTACAGCGATCTTTCACAACACATTAAAGAGTCACAAAACAGTATTTATTGTTTGATTTGAGTTTTTTTTTGTTGAAACTTTGTTTCATACCAAAAGTAACCTGCTTTGTCTTGTCTGTTGGCGTGTTGTCAGTGTCCTCTTTGCTATACAATGTATATTTCACTGCGTTGACTTAAACCATTTCCTTCCTGCACAAAGTTGAGGTGGACTCGGCTTCCAGGTCACTTCAGTACGTACATTAGAAACTTGCAAGAGGTTCAAATCCTAGAGGCTTTATGAAATTCAAACAGTACACATGCTCTTTTATATTTCACATTAAATTAGAAAGACAAAAAATTGAAAGAATTTTAAAATCCCAGTAATGTGCCCAAAATTGTTATTTTTTTGCATAATTTTTCGGGGATTAATCCCTATTTATTCTGAAAGGTGTTTCTCATTGCTTGAGTACAACTTCTTTTTACTGTATTGTTGTAATAGAGTGATTTTATTTAAAATTCAAATCATCACAAACATATGGCTGTACAAAAATGATAACAGGATGTACAGAATGTATACACTACCATTAAAAAGTTTGGGATTAACAAGATTTTTTTTTCTCATGCTCCACTTTTTCCCATCAAAAATACAGTAATAGAAAGTCCAAATGAACAGCATTTATTTGAAAAATATACATTTGTTGTAAAGGAGTGAATATGACCTAAACATGTTCTTGCAAGATATTCTGAGATTAAAGGCCAATTTATACTTCTGCGTAGGGTGCGCGCAGTAGGTACGGCGTAGCATACGCACAGACGCGTCCCATTGCGCGTACCCTTCGCCGTCGCCTGACGCGCACCTCCTCAAAAATGTAACTACACGTCGCGACGACGCGGACCGCAAGATCGGTGATTGGTCGGCTTGCTAGCATCGCATTTCCTCCTACGCATTTCCGCACGTACCTTCTCACGCATTTCCACCACTGTCTATGATTTCCACACGTACCATCTCCTCCGACGTCTTCTCTCATTTCTGCCTTTCAGTTTTAGTAATTTCACTAAAGTGAACTGTTTTTCCACCTCAATAAGCTCCAACTCCAACATGATCCACTCTCTTTCAATCGCTATTGCTTGTAGTACCCTAGCCGCGAGGAATCTAAACACAGTGGAACATTAAAACTCTCCGCCGCCAACTAGCGTTTCGGAGCAGTACTGCAGAGCAACAAGACCTGCGTCGCCTACGTGCGTAGCCAACGCCGCACATTACGGCGTACCCTCGACGCAGAAGTATAAATTGGCCTTAACCAGTAAACCTCTCATCAGACTAATGTTGAATTTTCTCACAGAGATTTTTTACTCTTATCCTGCCGTACTCATATTTTACTCTTATCCTGCCATACACCAGGAAATGGACTGATATCGGCCTCACCCATTTCCTTATGTAGATGTAGAAGCGCTGTGATTCAGGGAATGTTTGAACTGGATTATTCATCAGCCATTTGCAGCTTAAACAGGATAAATAACACATTGGTATCAATAATGTAATTTAGTAGTCCGTGTGAAGTAGTTTCCTCCATGTATTTGTAGAAAAGCTTAGATAACTTAAGTTTCAGATGCTATTTACTTTAATATTTTGCATTGTGCATTGCATTCAGACAGTTTGAAAGTTTGTCCAAAATACTTAAGGCTTCTATATGGAATATAAGAGGATCAATTGTGCATTCTGTCATCCAGACAGTGGGATCAATGGAAATAGACTTTTGAGTTGGAAAGGAAGCCTCATCTTGTGCATTGTTGAGTTTGGCCATTGTAGTTCTGGGACTGAATGACGGCACTGTGTGGGCTATTGTGTTATCATAGCCACCGGTCAAAACCAACATCTCACCCACTGTACAACAGCGTTCAAGAGCATGAACAACAGTGACTGTTCTCAGTGCTGTGTCTGTGTGTACACAATTGCGTAGGGTTCAGACTTTAAAGGCCTGTTCACGCCAAGGACGATAACGATAGATATGTAATAAAAATCATTCTGAATATAAAAGAACAGCAGAGTTTACACCACAGCTATAACAATAACGGCACAGAGAAACAATATTCATTGGAATCACTTTCAGAATGTTTTGGGGTTTTTTTCCAGCTGATGAACAATAAAAACATTGACAGCCAATCAGAATCCGTCCTGCTTTAAGAACTAGAGTAGGGGTCGGCAACAGAAGACGTTCAAAAGAGTCTGTGGATCGCTAGATACACCTGAAATGTCTAGTATTATATTAAATGCGCCTCTATAGCATGCGTTGTGTTTATTGTGGAATTTATATCAACAAATGAAGAATTTCTATCAATTAAATCAACTAATCGAATATTCGAAAATCATGACTCATCTCTACTGCTTTATATATGTATCCAGTGTAAAACCAGTGAATCAGTAAAAACAGCATTTATTTGAAATGGAAATATTATGTATTATCAATGTCTTTACAGTCACTTTAGATCACATTAGAAAACATCCTTGCTGACTAAAATAACATAATTCAAACTAAAAAATCAGTTTAGTTTATTTTAAACAGTGGTGCATTCAATTTCAGCACCTTTTTTTGTCTCTCAAGTTCTCTCGCCTAAAATATAACCTAGTATGTGTGGCGGCACTCTACAGGAAACATTATTGTCGTTCAGTGTTGACAATGTAAACATTCTCTTCCAACACATGTCCCTCTCCAGATGACTATCCCCAGCCGTGACCCCTCCATCCGCCTGGTGTTCGTGGAAACTCTAATCCTATTAACACTGAAAGTTCTCAATTCCGACACTGTGCTAATGTGTAGAAAGCCTTCATCCTTCCTCGTGCTCATACGGGCCTCTCTAGCTCGATCCTCTTATGTCAGTCACCATTTTGAGGAGCTAGAAAGGCCTTCGAGACTTCTTGACCAATCGTGGCCCTGCAACGCAGCGCCGTTGACTAATCACGGTCCTGCCAAGTTAATTGTTTTATAAAGTTAATAATGTGGTCAGTATTTCATGGTTTTGTACTGTAATTCTGGTTTTATCCATCGATGTGCCACTGTGTTTGTGGAGTTCTGCTCTAAAACTGAATGTGTGTTCTAGATTGTTTTAAGTGAGGTGAATGAACAGTGGTTTTATGAATGAGCGCAGTCTGGTTTTTTTTTTTTTTTTAAACCGGTGCCTGCAGGTTCATGTAGGTGTGTTCATAACAATAGGATAAACAGATTCGTCTACAGAAACATAATGCCGCCATTGTGCCTGACTGAACATTGAGAAATAAAGGCAGTATATGCCAATCAATGGCTGCTTTTGTAAAACAGTGTGATTGTGTTTTTGTAAAGTTCACCCAGTTTCATGTTCACCATGTTTGTGTGTGCAGATCCTGATCGAGTTCTGCGCCGGCGGGGCCGTCGATGCGGTCATGCTCGGTGAGTTGTTCACACAAAGCATTTGACATGCAAGGCTGCATTAGGAAAAGGTCACTTACAACGGACAGTTGCTTTCCATTACTCAAAAACACATTTCATTCTTAAAGGCGAAGGTGAACTTTAACTGTGCTCACCGGAAAATCAATATTGTTCATTGTATGAGCGACAATATATAGATTTATTCAATGTCTCTTAAAAAGGGTGTTTTGCAGCATTATGCCTGTTGAGTTTTCATTTACACACTAGTGTTCAAATGTTTAGGGTCAGTAAGACTTTTTTTAAGCAAATTGTTGAAAATTGACAGTAAAGACACTTGCGTTACAAAAGATTTGTATTTGAATTTTCTATTTATCGAAGAATCCTGAAAAAAATGTATCAAGGTTTCCACAAAAATATTAGGCGGCACAGCTGTTTTTTTAACACTGATAATACATGGAAATGTTTCTTAAAGGGATAGTTCACTTTAAAATTAATTTTTGATATGTTTTAGCTTACCTCAAGGGCATCCAAGATGTAGGTGTCTTTGTTTCCACAGTATTTTCAATGTTGATATTTTTAGATCAAACCGTTCTTGTCTGTCAGTCATGTAATGGAGGTTTATGGGGTCCACCCTGGGTTCAAGTCAAAGAGCATGCACAGAGAAATCCAAATTAAACATGATTTAATGACTCGTAAATGTAAGTACACATTGATGGCCTAAGACACGAAAATGAACAGTACTTATATCGTTTTTACTTCTTGTAATCACAGTCACGTCCAAATACGCTTCAGTGCGCCCTCTTAATTATTAATTTCAAAGTGAACTATCCCTTTAAGCACCAAAAATGCATCTTAGAATGATTTCTGAAGGATCATGTGACACTGACGACTGGAGGAATGATGCTGAAAATTCAGCTTTGATCACAGTAATAAATTACATTTTCAAGTATGTTCAAATAGATAAATATTTCACAATAATATTATTATATTATATATTATTATATTATATCTATTATATTTCTTACCAGCTGATACTTTCAGCCTAAACTATGAAGCTTTTCTCATTTTAGGAAAAAACAAAACAAAAAAAAACACACACACCTTTTGGGCCACTATATAAAATTACTCAATATAAATGCATGTTTAATCCAGATATTGCATAGTAATTCCCAAGGCAGTTCACTCAATGTGATTGCTTCTCGCTCCATGTTTAGCACAGGCAGGAAAAACGTGACAACAGAACTTAGATCAAAAATTCAATCCATAATAACTCTGATTTGAGTTTCACGAACCTCCTGCACACAAAATTTAATTCATTGTGACTGAAATTGACGTAAAAATAAATTATTAGTTCGGTAACCACTCTGATTCAGTACGTTCATTCAGCATAGGACTCATCAGACTGGTTCGAAATGTTAACTTCTGAGCCATTTTGAATTTGTTGCAAGAATCTGCTTATATGAGAAAGTATTTAAAGGGGTGATGAACTGAGAAATCAAATTTTCCTTGAGCTTTTGACATTTAAGAGGTCATCATATAATAAGAATATCCTGTAAGTTTCAGAACTGAAAACGTCCTTGTTAGTCCTATAAAAGTTTCTATTGACACCAGGCTCAGCAAACGACTCGTTTTTTTAAAGTGGGGAACTATGATGTCAAAGAGGATAAAACACCACCCCACCACACGCAGATGAAGATCAACTCCTACTTCAACACAGCCGGTTTAGCCCCGCCCACCGATTCGCGCATTACACGCATAGCTAAATAACAAAGATGCCTACCTCATGATGACAAACCGGATCGAGAGTGAAACTCATTATAGTATGCAAAACTGTTATCCACTCACAGCAGTGGGCGTTTACTTCTAAGTCTTCAGTACGAGACGCCCATAACCAAACGTTTCTGAGCTAGGCTCAAAACTAGGGTAGAAAATAGCCTATTACTTATTCATTTTGATGTTTTTTTAATATAAAAACTTAGTGAACGTCATAAGTTGACCTCAGACAACAATATAAAGAAAAATAAAAGCCAGTTCATGACCCCTTTAACTCATTTTACATAACTCAGAAGTTAGAAAGCAGGAGATATTACTGTAATATGGGAAATTACTAGCTGGTTCTCTAAAAATGACATGAGTGTGTTTATGAATGAGCATTTTCCTCTTCATATGTGTGTAGAGTTGGAAAGGCCTCTGACGGAGCCACAGATCAGGGTGGTTTGTAAACAGACTCTGGATGCTCTACTGTATCTGCATGAAAACAAGGTCATCCACCGAGACCTGAAGGCTGGAAACATCCTGCTCACACTGGACGGAGACGTCAAACTGGGTGAGTGGACGTGGGAGAGGGTTTAGAGGATTTTTATGACCTTTTTTAAGACCTTCTCAAATACCATATGGAGCAGTGTCTGTGGGAACATCCTAAATTATAAAATGACTATAACAACAATGACCAAAACAAAAGTTTTTTAAAATGATAAACATTATTCTTTAACCCATATTTAAAGAAAATTGATTTAAAATTTATAAATGAAATATACATTTATTTAAAATGTTTGTATACAGTCAAACCAAAATTTATTCAGACAACTGCAACATTTTTCACGTCATCACAGTTTATTCACTAGTTTAGAAATATGACAAGAACTCAGAGTTATTAAATCAGTTGATATTTCACTGGTTTTGGCCATTCTTCTGTTAGACTGTTTAATAAATGAGTTAGGTTGAATATCTGTCAGCTGTTAAATTTAAGTACACAATTAGATAATATTAATTTTGGTCAACCAATTGCTTCATGTTGTTCAGTCAATGGTGTAAAAAGGTTGCATTAGCAATTAAAGACAAAAACACAGTCAGGTCAAAGTGTCTGGATTATTTTTTGGTCGCAAATTGTTATAAATTTTACTGGTAGTCAATGTATGAAGAAATTTTGGGTATAATATGTTAGAGTGTATTTTATTTTGCTATCCTCACTAGTAAAAAAATATCCAACATTATATAATATATATGGCATTGTCTGGAATTTTTTTGGTTTGACTGTGTATATTATATATATATATATATATATATATATATATATATATAGCCTTTAGCCAAAAAATACTCCGATGAAACAAAATTAAGATTTTTACGTCATCTGAGGATTTTTTTACAGACAAAAAATATATAAATCTCTCATCTCAGGGGGATATGAGGGTGGAAAGCATGGTCATTTGAAAATACTACGGGTTTTCTACTAATACAAAACTTAATGCTAAATCCTGAAGTATTGTTTTAATCAAGTCATGTGTAATCTTGAATTTATCGGTGAATTTGAATTTATCAGTAACGGTGGAGTGTTTTCAGTTTTTTGTTGCTGACCGGCTGCATATAATCCAGTGCAGCAGGAGATTTCAGATGTGCTGATGAACAGATTCACGGTTACGTAATAACATGGTAAAGAGACTGAGAGGAACTGAGGAGGGTCATTTACATGTCAGGCTAAACCGCAGCTTGAAATAAACCAGATGTAAATGATTCTGTGATGTTGGTGTATAAAACTATATGGACACTTAAGCCACTGAATGTGGCATCACAAAGTATGAAAGCAAGTGGCATTTATTTTGAAGAAAGATCTTTTTATGCAGAACGTTTCCCAAAAAGAACATTTTCTGTATCTTTCAGCGGACTTTGGAGTGTCTGCCAAGAACACAAAGACGATCCAGCGAAGAGACTCTTTCATTGGAACCCCTTACTGGCAAGTTCAAAACAAAAAAATAAACCACTTGTACTTGCACACATTGGCATTGCTGACACTGTCTTTCATTCAGGATGGCTCCAGAGGTTGTGATGTGCGAGACGTCTAAGGACAGGCCGTATGACTATAAGGCCGATATTTGGTCTCTAGGAGTCACTCTGATCGAGCTGGCGCAGATCGAACCGCCCAACCACGAGATGAACCCGATGAGAGTTCTGCTCAAGATCGCCAAAGCTGACCCTCCTACTCTCCAGCAGCCTTCAAAATGGTACAAAACAATGTGATTTCTATATACACTATCGTTTCAATTATTTTGATAACTGATTTCTATTTGAATATACTATAAAATTTATTTTTTTCCTGCTGAAATTTCAGCATCATTACTCCAGTTTTCAATTTCACACAATCTTTCAGAAATCATTCTAATCTGATATTTGCTCCTCAAGATACATTTATTATTATTATCAATGTTGAAAACTATTTTTCAGGATTCTTTGATCAAATTGATCAAAAGTGACAGTAAATACATTACAATGTTATTTATCTTTCTAATCATCAAAGAATCCGGCACAACTGTTTTCAACATTGATAATAATAAAAGTTTCTTGTGCAGCAAAACAGCTAAATTAATCTAAATGTAAATCTAAATAATCTAAAAAAACGATAATAAAATCTTGTGTAAAATAAGAATAAAATTGAATATTAAATTATTAATGTTTACAAAGAATAACTTTAAGAGAGCGTTAAATTATGGCTAAAATAATCTAAATGTAAAAATACAGTAGGCGAAAGCATCCACAATTGAATATACAAATTAAAATTCCCCAAAATATATATTTTTAAATTAATAGATAACCAATATGGTACAGAATCATTTAAAAAATGTATTTTTAATATATAATGAATATGTGTGTCTGTGTCTATATTTGTATTTCTCAAATTGACAATCGAAAGTGCATAACAGAATTTTTTTCTCGTGATTTTATATAATGCCTTGTGCTTAAATACCTGAAATTGAATTAAATTATACTATTAATTTGTTTATTTTAGGGCTGTCAAATGATTAATCGCATCCAGAATAAAAGTTTGTGTTTACATAATATATAATTATTTTGTATATATATAAATACACACACATGCATGTATAAAATATTTCTATTTACATATAATATAAATTATATATAAATCTATATACAGAATATACATGAAAATATTTCTTAAATATATACAAGCGTGTGTGTGTGTGTAATTAAGATAATTATACACAGTGCACCTACATATATTATGCAAACACAAACTTTTATTTTGGATGCGATTAATCGGGATTAATCGTTTGACAGCCCTAGTTTATTTACTTACTGCTTTTTGTTCACGATATAACAGGTTTACAGGTTACCAATAAATAGGTTTATTTTATAGTTTTAATGACCTAGTCTTCATCCGTCTGCAGGTCTCCCGAGTTCAGTGACTTCCTGAAACACGCACTGGATAAGAACGTGGACAACAGGTGGAACACAGCACAACTTCTTCAGGTGAATTGACTTTTCCTACTTTTATTTCAACACGTATAATCTAAGGCCATATCCACTGAACCTGGCCCTAAGCTGAGGCAGTATTGCTGAAAAAAAAAAGCCTGCTGCTCGGACACCAGCTGGTCCAGGTGTCTTTCTTGCCACATGAATCAGCAGCTGTTCATTCATTTGTCTGTGTCAGGCACTTTCTCCACCACCCTTCATCCTTTTGACGTCAGCAAAGGAGATTTTGTTTCTTAAGTAGGCCAGCCTAGCACTGACTGCGCACAAATGCACAAATGCTAAACACTTCAGGAGAGATTCTGCTCTCTGAAGAGGCAACATGGGGTTGAAAATGCAGAATTCAAGTTTTCCTCCTATTAAGTTGATAATATCAAAGAAGCTGCACATTCTCAGACCAGCCATTGACTGTCTACAGCAGGTTTCAAAGCCAAGAAAGGTAAGAACTGGAGACTGGCATCCTCATGGGACATTGATGTGCTCGTTTTCCTCTTGTCTGTCGAACATTTGGCTTACAGCAATTTTTGTGTACAATGCAATGCATCTTAAAGGTCTTAAATTAGGCTTCATTTTCTTCAAGCCAAATAGTGATGCACAATAGATCAGACAGTACCATATCAGTTATTAGTCAGTATTATTCTTTTTTTTTTTTAATTTGTAGTATTTTTTTGGAAATTTAGTTGTGCAGGCTCATTAACACTTAAATGTTTACATTCATATTTTACCTTTAGTAAGTTCATCTTACTATTTTATTGAATCCCGCTGTTGTTCATTGTTATTTGTTTTATTTTACTTACTTTACATCAAAATGATGAATGAGATGAAGTTAGATTTATGAAGTATAGATGAAGTGAAAAATATTTGTGTAAATCTGGTGTTAGTTATTTACTTTTTACCATTTGACTGAGTTTGTTTCTCGAGATCTTTGAAAACGAATAATTTGCTTATAAGATTAAATTGAACTGTATTAAATCTCACATTTATATACATTCTTTATACTGTATAAAATAATGTTATTTCACTTGTGGCATTTGCAGTGTTTGAAATAATTTGTTCAATTTATTTAGTCAGTATAGTGCAGTATTAGTGCAATTTTAATATCAGCCATATATAGGTTGTCAGCTTATTGGAGCTGGCCAGAATTTTAGATATGCTAATTCAAAATATACAAGGGGAGGGACATAAACATAACACGTACACTTCTTATATATATATATATATATATATATACTGTATATATATGCTACATTTTCCAAGAATTGTTCTGGAACAGAGTATTCTGTCTGCTGTCTGCTTTTTGTCAATGTCAAAATGAATAGTGTGTCAATAATATGTACATGTGTAATTTGAATACGTGTATTGTAGTAATAGTAGTACCTCTTCATTTGTGCAGCACCCGTTTGTGAGTAGTGTAACTGACAGCCGACCCCTGCGGGAGCTCATCGCTGAGGCCAAGGCGGAGGTCTTAGAGGAGGTAGAGGAACTGAAGGAGGAAGAAGAGGAAGAAGATCATGAAGGAAACCTGGTAAGAGATTATAAGGACAGCCAACAAACTTAGAAGACTTTTCAGAGAAAGATTAAACCTAAAAAAGTCTGGATGAATGTTGGCCAAGAGCATGTCCTGAGGTACAGATTTCGAACTGCGGATGAGCAACAATAGTAGTGATTCTTGTATTAGTTGTAAATCTATGCTGCATTATCCATTAACTTGTTTAAAACGATCTTACCCTCAGCTTCGTGGACACAAGCGTGCACCATCTGACGCTAGCGTCGGCAGCTCTGAAGACGAGAAGCTTCCCCAGTCGCCATCCACCTTGGAGTCTGTTCCTGAAAAGATCGAGGACGTCGCTACCCCTAAGCTACCAGATGAGAATCTTACAGCTGGAAAAAAGAAGGAAGAAGAACCTCTGAAGGTGGATGAGAATCCCATCCCGGATGTAACAGTGCCTGGATCCAAGGAACAAGCGGTGGAAGAGTCTCAAGAACCTAAAGCTGAAGAAAAGGCTGTAGAAGCAGAGGTTGTTTTACCAGAGACTCCTACTGACACGATAGTCCAGAGGGTGGAGGAACCAGCCAAACCTGATGGAGAGAAACTGGAGGAGAAAAAGGAGGTGGTGGGCAACGGTGAGCTCATAAAGGAAGTGCCTGTTTCAGACATGGCTTCAATGGAGACTCCAGCTGAGCCCACTAAACAAGCTGAGCCAGTGAAAGAATTAGAGAAGGCTGAGGAAAAGGAGAAACCTCCAATGGTGGAGAAAGAAAGCCCGGTGAAGCCTAGGTATGTGAAGAAGCAAGACTCTGACTCAGGAATAAGTTCGACAGCTGACAGCAGCAGCATAGACCTGAACTTATCCATCTCCAGCTTTATTAGCAAGTCCAAGGAGCCAGGAACCATCTCTCAACAGGTGAGAAACACCTACTCAAAGCTGTCATTACTTAATACTCGCTAGTCCCAAGACAATAGAAGATCACAAAATTAGTGTAGAGTCAGTGTAGTCTTAGTTTTAAAGTGATATTTTCACTTTAAATATCTAATATTTCAAGACATTTGTCAGTTTTTTGTCTCTATGGGTGTGTTCATACTTGGCATGTTTGGTTGGATTAAATCGAACTGTGGTTGCAAAGACATGCAAACCAACCAAAAACAGGACATGATGTCACAAGATGCGACTCTAAACAAGACAGAATGTTCAAGAATACCTGTTTTTTTCTCGTCATAGTTGCGATGTTGCTCATCACAGTTCAGCACAGGCGTCAGGGATGCGTCTCCTCACAGCAGATCTGTGTGTGTGTGTGTGTGTGTGACGGATGGGTTCCTGATGCTGTTTTGTCTCATTTATACATTTGATAAGCTCTTCACTTGTTCTCAGTTGGTCAAAACACCATTATATGTAGGCTACGCACATACAGTGAGCGCTTTTATCCCAGAACACAGCATTGTTTTGGATGTTTGGCAAATTCTGTCGCAACATATCCGTAATAAAAGCTGACCAATCAGGTTGTGAATGTTAAAGGTTTGGTTTGGTGATAAAATGACATTGTGAACACTAAGCTGACAAAGGCTAAAAAAAAATGTTTGGTCCGAACCAAGCAAAACGAACTACAAGTGTGAACTCACCCTAAAACACTCTTGTGTGTGGGACTAATTTCTTACGCATCTCATCCAAGGCTCAGTTGCTGATTCCAAAATCTCATTTTAGATATGATGACTTATGTTGATTTATGCTGTTATTTGAGAGAGAGGAAAGAGATTGATTGATTAAGAAATTTAAATTGTTAAGTATTACAAATAAAATAGATATTGTGAATTATTTATTTAGTGAATATTTCTATTGGCTAAAAATATATTGTGAATTATTACTGAATATTGTGTGGGAAAATGGCCTGTCTTTATTTATTTATACTACTGAGTTTAAGTTTTAACATTTTAAATCTATAGGGTGAAATACATAAAATTAAAAACAATATACAAATTAAATGTATTGTGAATGATCAATTTAATAAAAGTTTGTGAAAAATTACATGACTTGATTTTATCTATTTATTTATTCACTGGGTTTAAGTTTTAACATTTTAAACATTTTGATTCTTTAGGCTACGAGGGTTTTTTTGGTCAAAAATATGTATTTTTTCTCATATTTTTTTTAACAAATTAAAGAAGGCCATTTAATCCATAAAGTATCATAAATATTGAGCTATATTCATAAGGCTAAAAAACATCAGGAATTGTTTTTTTTTTGTTGCAGTATTCCCACAGTATTAAAACTAGAATATGTTGTTGTTGTTGTTTTAGGACAACAAGAGGCAGAAAAAAACTCTGAAAAAGACTCGCAAGTTCATTGTGGATGGTGTGGAAGTCAGCGTGACGACATCAAAGATCATCACAGACAATGACACCAAAAGCGAGGAGATGCGATTCCTCCGGTGAGCCATCAGCTGTTTAACTGCTCTGAGACACTTTGCATGTTTGCATCATGTTTGCATCATATTTGCATTCATTGGTAAAACCTGTTTCATGTTGTGGCAGAAATTTTCTAGTACAAGCTTCTGCCTCTTCTCATTCTTAAAGCAACATCACCTGTTTTGCTAAATGCACACAGATCTTTCATGGCTAGGTGATATAAAAGCAGTGTTGGGCTGTTTTCATACCTCAAAGCGACAAAAAGTTTTTTTATTAGCATGTTTTACATATAACGGCCCAATATATCAACACCAGATGTGTGAAAGGTAAAACAAGCTGAGTAATGTCCTGCTGGAAAAGCTTCCTGTTGGACTGGATTGTGCCATTTTTTTTTTCTTCAGAAAACTCAGCATTTCCTCAATTTCAATTTTAAACAATTTATAAATTATTATTATTATTTGGTTATCCTAAACGTATTGTCATTATAAAGAAGACCAAGAAAACAATGAAAATACAGTCACAGTCTTTGTAATGACATAAAGTAATGACATAAACAAACAATCCTATGTATCTCTGTTATGCAAGATCCTTGTGGATGATTCCAGTTTATACTTGGCTTTTTACTTTATACAGGCTTTTTCTTGCAATTTCTAGTTCGAATGATTTTGTTAAGATATTTTGTATAAAATAAAAAATGTTTAGTTCCATACATTTGCTTAAACACCATAGGTGGGTCTGTTGTTGGATCAGTGTATACTGATTGTTAAATGTGTGTTTCAGGCGTCAGGAGCTGAGGGAACTGAGACTTCTGCAGAAAGAGGAGCAGAGAGCCCAAACTCAGCTCAGCAACAAACTCCAGCAGCAGCGGGAGCAGATCTACAGACGCTTCGAACAGGAAGTCACGGTGAGCCAGAACAGACAAAGACATTAAGATCAGTATCGCTGCTTCATTGATGGAACTGGATCATATCAATTAAGGATACAGAAGGAAAGTGCCTGCTGAAATAGTTCCTGATTTCCGAACTTTTCACTGGGGTCATCTTTAAAATGTCACATTGAAACCATATAATCTGCCATAAAGCCTGCCAAGATACTCTGCTGATGTGATTATTATTTTATAGGTTTTTGTTTTTACATTAATAAAACTTGATTGCTTTCCTGAGAATAGTGGTGTTGCCAATCCCAGAAACACTGACAGGACTCTGACCGAATTACATCACATGCTTAACAGCTTCATTATTTTTGGAGTGTGTAATCCGTGTCTGACTATTAAGCGTAGGTCAGTATTTTAAGGCACCTGAGATTGTGCCTGTTAGCCTGGTCAACAATCATAAAACTAAATGAACTTGAACTAAACTTTGGTTGTCATCAGGAAAAGATCTCTAGATTCTCATGTTGTCCTTGTCAAATTATTTTTCCTATATATATATATATATATTAAACACCAAATATATATTAAACACCAGAAATGAAAAATAATTTGACAAGGAAAAAAAAACAACAACATGAGTATATGTGTATATATATATATATATATATATATATATATAATATATAAAGGAAAAAAAAACAACAACAAGAGAATCTAGAGATCTATATATAGTTGTTATCCATGTCTATTTCTATTTATCTCAGTATTTTGAATGGGTCTATAGTGGCGATTCTTGTAGACCTGCTTTATAATTTCTGTATTTTCTTGTCTCGCTAGAGTAAGAAGCGTCAGTATGATACGGAGGTGGAGAATATGGAAAGGCAGCAGAAACAGACCATCGAGCGCCTGGAGCAGGAACACACCGATCGACTCAGAGACGAAGCCAAACGCATTAAAGCTGAGCAGGACAAAGAGCTCTCCAAATTTCAGAGCACGCTCAAGAACCGCAAGAAAGAGGTATGAAAGCGTTTAGGATCTCTGCTTTCCAGAAGAAGCATCCTGGGGGAAAAAATTTTTTTATTTTCACTTACTAAAGTATTCTTATGGTTTAAATACGAATCAGTTTACATGGGATTGAACTGACTGTACCTCACAGGATGTTGCTCATGTGATGATAGACTCACCAGCGCCGCCCTGCAGGACGTAAGCAGCATGTCTGCTGAATGTGTGCTGTGAAACATGAAATCTCCTTTCCTTTACTTCCTTTCCTTTTTACGATCAGTGTTTAGTCTCAACTGCAGGAGTTTGGCCAGTATGGTTAAAGCAGTTTCATTCTTCTTTTCATCAATACTTCCATTCTGTCAGTAATGTCGGCATGGCATGGAAGTTGTGATAGTCTTTAATTCCCTATTGTGATTATTCAAATGAAATGGCTTTTCAAACAAGAAAAGATGTAGGGCGGGACTTGATATATGCCACGGGGAGTTGATTGGATGGTTGTGGTTTGCTATTGGTGGATCTCATGTGAGTGGCAGGTTGTCCCACCCTCATGCCAGTAAACACGTCATCAGAGAAGATCTTGATTCTTTAGACTAAAATGGTTCATTAAAGGTTTTCTATTTAGGATATACTGTCAAAAGTACACTCTCCACTTTCAAAATGTTTTTTTTTACTAGTTGTTAATGTTGTGTTTGTGTGTTTAAAGGAGCAGGAGTTTCTTCAGAAGCAGCAGCAGGATCTGGACAGTGCTCTGAAGAAGATCATTCAGCAACACAAACATGAGCTGGCCACGATCGAGAGAGACTGCCTCAACAACAAGCAGCAGCTCCTGAGAGGTCAGACTGGACATTCCCACTTAGTGTTATCCTTAAGTCTCATTCTTATCCTCCCCAATTGATTGTTTACAGCTTTTGCCGTGTTAGCAGTTAGCGGCTCTGTTTTAATGCAATATTCAGCTTTTGAGCATTATTAAATTCACAGCTTTTGTCACACAGGGTGCCATTTGAACTTCGAAAACAAAGTTCAGTTGATTTAACTTAGTTCTTCCTGATTGTTGCAGCCAGAGAAGCCGCCATGTGGGAGCTGGAAGAGCGCCACCTACAGGAGAAACACCAGCTGCACAAGCAGCAGCTGAAAGACCAATACTTCATGCAAAGACACCAGCTGCTCAAAAGACACGAGAAGGTTACTTCCCACATCAGCTTTATACAGTCTGTGCGCTTCTGGTTGCTGTTGTTGTGATTTTAAACGCTGAGTGTGTTTGTCTACAGGAAATGGAGCAGATGCACAGGTATAACCAGCGTCTGATGGAGGAGATGAAGAACAAACAGACTCAAGAAAGAACCAGACTGCCTAAGATCCAGCGCAGTGATGCTAAGACCCGCATGGCCATGTTCAAGAAGAGCCTGCGCATCACTACCACAGGGGTCACGCCGGAACTGGAACGTGAGAGGGTTAAACAGGTCAGAGGTCATATCAGGCTTAAAGATGCAGTAAGCGATTTCTGATTCATGTTGTTGAAAGTGGATCGGACCAACACAGTTGTAGCCAATCGGCAGTTGGGGGCGTGTCCACTCATGATGGGGGAGGAAAGAGAGTGAGATTTGAAGTAAGACTGTTGAAAGAGAGATGGCTGAACGATTTTACAAAGGAGAAGGGTTTAAAGGAATAACACTGGAAAAAAGAAGGGTTATGAACAGGCATGAGCTTTAGGACCCACGTCAATTTTAGAAAAGCGTTCCAGCGCTGGAGAGAGTTAAATGGATAGGCCTGAAAACCGCAGAGGTTTCTGCTCTCTACTCGAGTAACATTGTTTTTTGCCATGTTTCACAGAACCAAGATATTCTATGGATATCACGGTACCAAAATTTCAGTAGTCGGTACCGTTACCATTAAAACTTTACGAGTACCAATTTCGGTACCACAGCGAAATTAGTTTGATCTATTTTTCCAATTTATTTAACTATTTGAAAAAAAAATTCAATTCAATTCAATGACTTTATTATTTATGACGGTAAATTTATGAAAGCATTGAAGGCTACATGCTGTTTAAACAAAAATATTGCTGATATTGAGTAGGGATGCTAACGGTTAATCGATTATCGATTAATTGTCGACAAGAATTTACTCGATTAAAGTAAATTAATTGTCAGCTTATTGAACATTGCGAACGTGACAGGATGTTCTAACTAGAGCCAGACCGATATATCGGCAGGCCGATATTATCGGCCGATATCAGGCATTTTCCAGACTATCGGTATCGGCAGTTATAATGGCCGATAAATGAATATTTCAAAAATAAAATAAAATAATAAACATAATAGTTATGTTACGTTGTTACAGTGTAGTTGACTGACTGTCCTTTTAACTTTTGACAATGTGACTGAAGTATTTCTTTAATAGCGCGTGACAGTTATAGCAATGAGACATATCATCTCTCCTTGGCCTGTTATATTGAAAATGTATGTTTTACGATTTGCAGCATGACGTTATCCATTGCTAAATTATGGCTCATCATAGACTAGCTAACCACAAAGCTAGCTAATGCCACTATCATCAGTCTGTTCTGTTGTGACAATAAAAGAAACAAGTTTCTTTTTAAAATGCATTATCACATTATTTTAGTTAAAACTCATAAATAACTACAAACAACTAATGTTAGGGAAATCTATTAATGTTTTGTTGCGCGTTTCTGAAATAAAAAATAAATAAATGAAAAATATCGGCCGATATATCGGAATATCGGATTTTAAATCCAACAAATATTTGTATCGGCCCTCAAAATCCTTTATAAGTCGGGCTCTAGTTCTAATGCGAGAGAGCCGACACAAACTTGAGGCGGCTAACAATAACTTAGCCTGTAGCTAGTTTTCCCGGGTTTCTCCCGTTTTTTAGCCGAATCTCCCGGACCCCTCCCGGTTTGTTATTTTTCCCGGGAAACTAGTCAAAATGCCTGTCACACTTTCTTACATGGTGTGTTCACTTCTCATAGACAGTAAAAGGGGTGTTCGAGGCGCACGGCACATACAATACAATACTGCCGATACTTCAACATGGAGCGCGCAGCTCTTAAAGGGGCCACACCTTATTTCCACACGTTACAAGTTGTACATTTGACTTCCCCCTCAGCCTATATTATAAGTGCTGCTGCTAATGTTTCAAGTTTTTTATGTAGTTTTTTTTAAGTAGTTTACCAGATTTATTATTAAATGTAGGCTTAATATAGTGTAGGTATGATAAGCCTACCCATATAGATTTTTTATTTAATATTTATTTTTTGTTGCTTAATGTTTCACATGCAACAGGTGAGCCAGTGCACAATTATTTTTTATGTATTTAAAATTTCTGTGCATAATTTATTTTGTTAAACTACATAAATGCCATTATTCTCTATAAATCACTTACTGTGCCTTTAACAGAATAAGTCCACATGAACTTACTTGAAAGTTGATTATTCTTGAAGAATCATGTAGCAATGTTAAAATTCTTGTATTTATAATGATATTACATTTTGAGATTTGCTAAAATGACATTTTGAAGGCCATCTATATAAAAAATAGTGGAAATTAACATGCTCAAATAAATATGGATATGATATGGATCTAATATCGATGGAACCACTTCATATCAATATGGTACAAATATACTGTATTGTGCATCCCTAAATATTTCAACTTGTTGCGCATATAATTTTCTTCCCTTAGTTAGTATTTGTGTAGTAATTCTTGCATATTTGTGTGGCCGATGAACAGTTTGGAGCACAGGAGGAGAAGAGACAAAAGAACGAGCGTCTCCATCAACTCCAGAAACATGAGAATCAGATGAGAGACCTGCAGACGCAGTGCGACGCCAACGCCAGAGAACTCCAGCAGCTGCAGGTACACCTGAGCATTCACCACTAGACGAACAACACAGCGGTTACTCCGTCGTGAAAACCAAACGGTAACGTGCTTTGTGTGTGTTGTAGAATGAGAAGTGTCATCTGTTGATCGAGCATGAGACTCAGAAGCTGAAGGAGCTGGACGAGGAGCACAGCGCAGAGCTCAAGGACTGGAGAGAGAAACTCAGACCCCGCAAGAAGGTACGACACTAACATCATCATTACTCCAGTCTTCAGTGTCACATGATCCTTAATGGGATGATTTGATGCTGAAGAAACATTTCTTATTATTATCACTTTTGAAAACTGTTATGCTGCTTAAAGGAGTAGTTCACTTTTTAAAAAAAACGTTTGCTGATAATTTACTCATATTTTTGTGGAAAAAATATACTTTTTTCATCTTTGATTAATAGAAAGTTCAAAAGAACAGCATTTATTTGAAATAGAAATCCTTTGCTGCATTACACATGTATTGACTGCCACTTTTGATCAATTTAATTCGTCCTTGCTGAATAAGATACTCATTTCTTACTGACCCCAAACGGTTGCGTATTTAATTTTCACTTTTTATTGGTTATTTTTATCTATATTTTGTTAAACATTTCAACTTCATCATAATGATTCAAAGAAATGTGAACTCCTTGTAAATTACTGCACTCATTCATTTTCCCCTTATTAAAGATTCCATGTTGAGATCACATGACCATATTTTATTTTATTTATTTATTTTTAAATTCTTGGTATCACAGGACTTTCTCACACACAAATAATTGACCGTGGCTGTCTATGAAACGCTTTTTTTGTGTGATGCTTCATCCGCACCACTAGATGTCAGCAAAACATTATTGAGTGCATCTTTAATATTGAACACTTCCACCATGTTTGATTAGTGCTTTACTCTATGGCTTTACTAAGAACATGCAATCTCTCTGTCCAGGCCCTGGAAGATGAGTTTGCCCGTAAGCTACAAGAGCAGGAAGTGTTCTTCAAAATGACCGGGGAGTCTGCATGCCTTAACCCCTCCACCCAGAGCCGAATCTCGAAGTTCTACCCCGTCCCGAGCGTCCACTCCACTGGGTTTTAAAGCACAGAGATGCTGAATGAACTGCTATGACTGAACCTCTGCTGCCTCCGTCCCTCTGATCGCTGATCGTCAGTCAGAACGGAGGGCCGGATTCATCTAGTAAGCTACAGGCTTTTTTAGTTTTATTTAAGCTTTAAATGTGGATTTTCTGTGTGGTTGGTTTTCCAAAACATTTCAGTGATGGTTTATGAAATATAATGTGATTTAATTGTATACGCCACTTAATGAATCTTTTTTTCATTAAGGGGGAGGGGTCTCAAAGGATTAATCCTGGTTTACTGTGGTATTTTTATGACTATATTTGCAAACATCGAATGACTGTTCAACTTTGGGCTGATTTGCTTGAGTAAAGAGTCCATGCTTGATGTCAGTGGTTATGAGAACCAAACGAATGATTTAAATATCAAAAAATCAGTCAGAATAAAGCCATTGATTTTGCCAAGCGACATTTTTTTTACCATTCTAATGAAGTTTAATCGCACATTATTTAGGACATAATGTTAAAAATTATTCATGATTTCTTGGTTATTTCCTGTATGTATTACAGGATATAAATATATTTAAATTTCCATCATCTCGCATCACTTTATGTGAGCTTTGTTTATTATCATAAAATGGATTTATACTTTAAGTAGCAGCCATAGTCATTTCTTTGAAGCATTTTAGCATATCAACCACACTGTGTGCAAATATTCTGACATCACTGTGGAAAGAAGTGCATTTGCACTTGCTCTGCTATGCAATGTGAACATGTAGCTGCATTAATCATCTCAACTTTACAATTCATCGACAAACTTTAAAGCAAAACACCTCAATTTCATATTGTCAATACTGTGTATTCTCCAAAAAATGCCAATTTTTTTCCCCGATTACATGCTTATCTGGAGATTCATCCAGACGTCTCTACACTACATTTGTGTACTTTTCAGTAAAACTGTATAGAGGATGATGTTTTATCCAATTTAATTTAATTAGACATGTTGTTTTTTTAGCATTTTGTAGTAAAAGATTTTTTCTTGATCTAAGTTCACTTTCAACATGCAGTTCTAAATGTGTTTACTGCATTTACATTTGTGGTGTAGTTTGTAAAAACCGCACAAAACGACTGTGAAATGTGTGGGGTGGAAGACAGAAAACATGAAGTTCTTGTCATTGATAAATCCTGAGAGCAATGTTCATGTTTTACTGTAAAGAGAGTGCTGTGCGCCTTCTGATACAGGATTCCTGGAGGGAATTGTACACATTTTCTTTCACAAAATAACAGTTGTAAGATGTATTGTGTTTGTGTCAAATATCAAATCATTGTGATTATAGGAAGCTACTGTAATTAAAGCATGTGTGGTGAATCGTTCAGCTGTGTGGGTCTCTGTATTCAAGTGTCTCTCTGTTTATGAATATGAGGCAAATACTTTAGTTATTGAAAGATGGTCACACTCATATGAATGGGAGAAAGTGCAACGTGTAATATGGCGAAACAAGTCCCGCCTTCTAAGTAAAAGAACCTATCGCCAATCGATTACAACAGTTCCTGCCCTCTTTTTAAGTCTCGCTGATTCTGGAAGTATTTTTTCCAATTCATTTTTCCTATAGGGATTCGAAAATAGTCTGTTAAAGCGATTTGAAGCTTTTGAAAATCTGAAAAAAATCCAAAGGAGGGAAAAAGAGCGTAATCAACTGAAAAACAGAGAAATATAAAACTACTAATTTATGGATTACATTTATAAAAACAATGTATTTTTTAAAGTTTATTCCAAAATATGTGTATATACATAAACATTTCAGTGCTTCATTGGAGTGGGCGGAGCTAACAAGATCTTTTTGACTCTCTGACTGGTCTAAGCTGTTAGAAGCTACAGTTGCTATAGAAAGTCTATAGGCTGTTTTGAATTGATTTTTTTATGAAACAGTTGATTTCCTTGATGAATAGCTTTGGAATATTTTATGTTTCACGATGGCCGCTGAGTGAAATGACTTGCCTCAGAGCTTAAAAGGACTTTGATATGAGTCTTCAGAAGTCTCAGCTTAAAAACAAACAAAAAAAAATCTTTATTTCTCAATTTAAAAAGTCAAACCACATTTGATGCTATTGAAAGTCTGTAACAATGAAAGCATTTTAGCACATCAATTGACAAAAAGCTCATTTTAAACATCCCCCCAGATTATTTTAAAGGATTAGTTCACTTTTGAAAAAACTTTTGCTGATAATTTACTCACCCCCATGTCATCCAAGATGTCCATGTCTTTCTTTCCTCAGTCGAAAAGAAATTTAGGTTTTTGATGAAAACATTCCAGGATTTTTCTCCATATAATGGACTTCAATGGGAAACCGGATGGTTCAAGTATCAAAAGACGGTAAATAGCTGTTTCAGATGCAGCTTCAAATGTCTTTAAACGACACCAGACGATGAATAAGGGTCTTATCATGCGAAACGATCGGTTATTTCAAAACTTATTCCAAAAATGTAACTTTTATAAGGACAAATGCTAGCGTTGCTAAATTCTCTGAGGCGCGTTTGTAACGTCACGTAAATGTAATTACGTTCAAAAGGTCACGGGCGACGTAGCCGGAAGTACAGAATCAAAATCGTCCGACATCGTTGTTTTTCCTTTTAATTCCTTTTTTTGTAAACGGCGTTTGAGTTAGTTTGCACGTTCAACCTATGCGTTCAACTTGTAAACACTGACTCTGTACTTTCGGCTATGTCGCCCGTGACCTTTTGAACGTAATTACGTAATACGTGACGTTGCAAACGCGCCTCACAGAATGGAGAAAGGCTAGCATTTGTACTTATAAAAGTTACATTTTTGGAATAAGTTTTGAAATAACCGATCGTTTCGCATGATAAGACCCTTATTCATCGTCTGATATCGTTTAAAGACATTTGAAGCTGCATCTGAAACAGTTATTAACCGTCTTTTGATACTTGAACCATCCGGTTCCCATTGAAGTCCATTATATGGAGAAAAATCCTGGAATGTTTTCATCAAAAACCTAAATTTCTTTTTGACTGAGGAAAGAAAGACATGGACATCTTGGATGACATGGGGGTGAGTAAATGATCAGCAAAAGTTTTTTCAAAAGTGAACTAATCCTTTAAATCCCATTGATTTTGCAGTCATGCACACACATACTTATGACGAGGAAAAAAATACAATCTTTTTTCTTAAAAAACTGAATTAATTCGTTTGAATTTGTTCTTGTAAATGTAGTGTGAATATGTTTATATTTTAGGTACAAATCATTGACAAAAAAAGTCTGAATTAAGATATGTACATTTACAGCATTGGCTGCATTGTCATCTGTCTAAATTCCTGTGCTCCTCCTCCGACGACGAGTTATATATAAAGGCTCACCTGTGGGGAAAAAAGGTTTGTCATGACATTATCATGAAGAAATATACAGTATCTTATGATCAATTATATATTTCGTGAACTGGCTCATACCCTTTTCTCCTTTCATTCCTGGGATGCCTGGGACGCCTGTATTATACAATTATAAAATTACAAGTTGAGGCAAATATTGATAAATTATATTTGAACACTTGTCCATGCAAATAGACAATTTCAAGGAATACTCTGGATTAACCCTGTAAAGCCTGAAATACTGTATTAAATAATAGTAAAAATAAATAAATAAATAAAATGGATCGGTTAATTGAACCCTTTTGACAAAAAAAAAATCTAAAATGCATATGTTTTGTTGAGCATCATATTTGATACTGTGCATCAGCACTTTATGGCTCATATAATATGATATAGTGAGAATATGGAGCTTAGAGGAGGAAAACAAAACACAGAGGAACAATATACAATTTGGTGTTTTTACTGATATTATTGTGGCCCAAAAGATAGCTTAGCTTGGATAGTACATCAATGCGATCTTTATGGCAGACTGTATAGCAGACGACTTGTATCAATGTCAGTTGTCACTTTATGTCTCCCATTAATATGTCTTAAGATATTTAAATGATCTGATGATTTAATACTCACATTTTCTAAAAATGACCAAGCAAACATAAGTTGCTTCAGTCCAGTCAGTGTTCATCTTCAAATATTACCAACAATATAGAAGCTATTCTTATGTTTACTTGATAAAAATCATTAAATATTTCACAGCAAAATGGCATGTGAACCTCGACTTAGAGGTGGACATTTTTGTATAGTTAACTAAAAAAACCTTTTTACTTGTTAAAAAAAGTGTAAAATAAGATGACAGAAGGCAAATTATAGGTTTTTCTGCAAATTTTTGTTGATCGTTTATGGTATGTTAATATACGACAACGATAGAAAAACAAGGTGTACAAATAGTCTGATGTTATCAAAACAGTCCCCGTTCATTAGGATCCACGAAAAATTACTAAAACACTTTTTACGCATGCCAGGAAAGAAATTAGCAATGTCATTTTGTAAGACTGACATCATGACACAATGTCATAAATATGAAGGTTTAATGCATGTTTATGACAATGTCTTTGCTATGACACCTTGACATAAACCTTGTCATGACAACTGATATTATTAATGGCATGACATTACTAAGACAACACAACCTGTCATAAACATGACATAGCAGATTAATTAGTTGGTTTTGACATTGGCTGTCATGAAGCCATTATAACATTTTAATGACAAATTCAATTTGTTCCACTGTAGCTGAGGTCATGAAAAATATTCATGACACAGTTCAAATGCCTCATGACAGCCAATGTAAAAAAAAAAAAGAAAGCAACACATGACAGTTTAATTAAATGTTAACCCATAAAGCGTGCTAAGTGGTTTCTTAAGTTTTATAATTACTGTATTAAGGTTTATGACATATTTATGTCAATGTATGTTGTTAAGGTTTCTTGCCATTCCTTTAATATTCATTGTCATTATTACATTTTGTGTTTTTTGTTTATTTATTTATTTTTTGTTTTTTACATTATAATTGTATTGCGTGACTTATTTTTAGATAAAATGTACTGCAAATGATTAAGTTTTTTTTGTTTTTTTGTTGTTGTTTCTCAAAAAGGATAAATTCTGATATTTTGTAAAGAGAAAACAGTAGCCGTTTCAAATCCAGATTTGTAAAAGGGGAAGGAAAGCATAAGTTAGCTTCTTCCTTCTCCTTTTTTTTTCTATATTCTTTTTCTTCTCTTTTGAACATGCTGAGATTTTGTTTTTATTATTTTTTGTTTAAATATGCTCTGTTATCAATGACCATGTTCTGAAGAGGAAAAGGAAATGAAAAGAAATAAATTATTCATTCATTCATTCATTCAAGGTATCATAACAAATACATCTCAAACAATGTCATATTTGCATTAAACATGTAATTATAAGAGAATGACACTTAATGACAATTGTCATAAACATGCATAACACGTGTCATGTCATGATTATGAAAGTGTCATGTCAGTCTTATGTACACCCCTTCAAGTAAAGTGTTATGATAATTAGATATAGATAATTAAGATAATTAATCATCTTCATGACATATTTATGACAATTTATGTTGTCTTGGCAATGTCAAGTTGTCATGACAAAGACTCTGACAGGTTATGATGTATTGGTTTATGTCAAGGTGTCCTAACAAAGACATCTCAAACAATGTCAGATTTGAATTCAAAATGTCATAATAAGCGAATGACACTTAATGACAGTTGTCATAAACATGCATACAACCTCCTTCATATTCATGACGTGTCATGTCATGATTATGAAGGTGTCATGTCAGTCTTATGCACACCCCTTTAAGTAAAGTGTTACCAGAAAGACTAACCGCCATACATATTGTTATCAATGTCGATTGATTGCTATTTATCACACGGACAATTTCATATGTCATATGTTTCGAACTTGTACCTGGGAATCCTGGAGGTCCTATGGGTCCTGCGGGTCCTCTGTTTCCTGAAATTCCTGGAGGTCCTAAAAGTCCTGGAGGTCCCATCTCCCCTTTCAGCCCTTGTTGTCCAATCATATGGTGATCTGTAAAAATTATGCATTTGTAATTATATTTGTAAATTAATTATTCATATTAAATGCATCTTTTGAACAAGTTCCTTCTTGCCTCTAATATAGTCCATGATTTCATTCATTTTGGTCAGTTCTATGCTGATTCCTGGAGGCCCTGTTTCTCCTTTAGGCCCTGGTAGCCCTGGTAGCCCTTGTGCTCCTCGTTGTCCTGGAGTACCTAGTAGGCTCGGTAACAGGCCATTAGCTGTGGAAAAATGCCAACACATAAAACTCAATAATTCCTGAAATAAATCTATAAAAGGTATTACTAATAACTTGTTCACATTTACCTTATGCATTTAGCAGACACTTTTATACAAAGCCACTTACAAAAGACAAACGAAAGCAATTCGT